AAGACATCATAATCAAGTTCTCCAAAATCAAAAATAAGGAAACAATCTGAAGGGTTACATACAAAGGCAAGCAAGTCAGATTAAGCTCAGATCTCTCAGCAGAAACCATGGAGGCAAGAAGGCAATGGGGAGACATGTATAAAACCTTGAAAGAAAAAACTGCCAACCAAGAATCCTTTATCCAACAAAGCTTTCAATCAAATATGATGATGTAATCAAAACATTCCAGGATAAACAGAAGCTAAGGGAAATTCCTCAACATAATTAAGAGCATATATACAAAGCCAACAGCCTACATTACTCCCAATAGAGAGAAACGAAAGCCTTCCCTCTGTGACCAGGAACCAAACAAGGATGCCCTTTGCCACCACTCCAATTGAATATTGTGCTGGAATTTTTAGCAAGAACTTTACAGCAAGACAGGGAAATTAAAGGCATCCAAATTGGCAAAGAGGAAGTTAAACTCTCTGTATTTGAAGATAGTATGATTCTGTACATATAAAACCCCAAATACTCAGTAAAAAAGCTACTAGACCACATTGGAAGATTCAGCAAAGTGGCAGGATATAAGATCAACATACAAAAATCAGTTGGATTCCTCTATACTAACAATGACAGTGTAGAAAAGGACATTAGGAAAGCAATACCATTTACAATAGCTGCCCAAAGGATGAAATATCAAGGAATAAATGTAACAAGAGAAACAAAAGACCTATACAAAGAAAACTACAAAACACTACTACCAGAAATGAAAAGAGAGCTGCAAAAATCAAAGAATGTATGATGATCCTGAATAGAAAGACTGAACATTGTGAAAATGTCAAGACTGCCCAAAGTAATTTACACATATCATGCAATCCCAATCCAGATTCCAACAACATTCTTCAAAGAGATGAAAAAAACTATTACAAACTTTATATCAAAAGGAAAGATACTCAGGATAAGCAAAACACTGCTTAAGAAGAAGAACAAGGTTGGAAATCTCTCACTCCCTGACTTCAAAATTTATTACATGGCTACAGTGGTCAAAACAGCTTGGTACTGGCACAATGAAGGATACATTGATCAATGGAACAGAATCTAGAATCCAGAAATTAACCTATCCATATACAGTCAACTGATTTTTGACAAAATGCCTAAACATGGGGAGGTGATAGTCTCTTCAATAGATGGTGTGGAAGAACAGAAAATAAATATGCAAAAGGTTGAAACAAGACCTTTACCTCATGCCTTCTACAAAAACCAACTCAACATGGATTAAAGACCTAAATGTGAATCCCAGAATTATGAAAGCCATCAATGAAAAAATAGGAACAAATGTGAGGGCTCTAATTCAGAGCATACACAGACTA